GTTATATTTTTATGCTCAGTAGGTTAGAGCGGAGTGTATTGTGATTGGAGGTCTAGGGTTCGAATCCCATTCTGGCCCCGTTATATTTTATAATCAGTAGGTTAGAGTGGAGTGTATTCGATTGGAGGTCTAGGGTTCGAATACCATTCTGGCCCTGTTATATTTTTATACTCAGTAGGTTAGAGGGGAGTGTATTGTGATTGAAGGTCTAGGGTTCGAATCCCATTCTGTCCCTGTTATAATTTTATACTCAGTAGGTTAGAGCGGAGTGTATTGTGATTGGAGGTCTAGGGTTCGAATCCCATTCTGGCCCTGTTATATTTTTATACTCAGTAGGTAAGCGCAGAGTGTGATGTGATTGGAGGTCAAGGGTTCCAATCCCAGTCAGGCCCTCTTATATTTGTATACACCGTAGGTTAGAGCCGAGTGTATTGTGATTGGGGGTCTAAGGTTCGAGTCCCAGTCTGGCCCTGTTATATTTTTATACTCAGTAGGTTAGAGTGGAGTGTATTGTGAATGGAGGTCTAGGGTTCAAATACCAGTCTGGCCCTGTTATATTTTTATACTCAGTAGGTTAGAGCAGGGTGTTTTGTGATTGGAGGTCTAAGGTTCGAATCCCAGTCTGGCCCTGTTATATTTTTATACACCGTAGGTTAGAGCTGAATGTATTGTGATCTGAGGTCCAGGGTTTGAATCGTGGCTTAGCCCTGTTGTATTTCTAAACTCAATAGGGTAGAGCAACAGTAGAATATTTGGGAGTCCTGGGTCTGACTCCTGACCTGGCTCAGTTGTATTTTTAGATTAGAGCCACATTACAATGATTAGGAGTCCTGAGTTCGAATTCTGGTCGAGTTGTATTTTAATATTCAATAGGTTAGAGTGACAGTATAATGATTAGGAGTCCTTAGAGTGACATATTTAGGGCCCCGTATCAGAGATACGGGTGCCCCATAGTAATCACTCTGTCTGTTATCTTTTCACTGATAAACATTTTGTTATGATGTTATGAAGCAGAGTTGATCAGAATTAAACATGGAGTCAACTGACCAAAGGTCAAGGTCATCGGGTCAGGGGTCAAGGTCAAATTTTGTAGCTTTTCACTGGTGAACATTTCGCTATGACATTATGAAGCAAAGTTGTTCGGAATTAAACAAAGAGACACACTGAGGTAAAAAGTCGAGGTCAAAGGTCAAGGTCATTAGATTCAAAAGTCAAGGTCAAATTTTGCATCTTTTCACTGATGAAAATTTTGTTATGACATGATGAGGCAAAGTTGATCAGAATTAAACAACGAGTCAACTGACCAAAGGTCAAGGTCATTGGGTCAAAGGTCATAGTTACATTTTGTTTCTTTTCACTGGTGAACATTTCTTATGACACTTTGATGCAATGTTGCTCATAATTAAACAAGGAATCAATTGACCAAATGTCAAGGTCTCTTGGTCAAAGGTGAAGGTTAAAGTTTGTACCTTTTCCCTGATGAACATTTTGTAATGACATTATGAAGCAATGTTATTCAGAACTTAACACAGAGTCAATTGACGTTAGGTCCAGGTTACGGGGTCCAAAGGGTCAAGGTCAAGTTTTGTATTTTTCACTGAAGAACATTTTGTTATGATATTAAGAAGCAAAGTTGGTCGGAATTAAGGGATAAGTCAACTGACCAAAGATCAGGGTCACTGGGTTAATGGTCAAGGTCATTTGGGTCCAAAGGTGAAAGACAAAGTGGATCTCTGACTTTGACCCTGGCTCTTGATGGAGGAGGTATATAAGGTGAAATTTTTGAAGTCCAAATGTCAAACGTCAAGCTTAGCTACATATGGGCAGATTGCTTCTTGATGATTATGGGGGATATATTGCCACAAGACGGGGCCCTTACTGACCTGTCAGTGTTCTAGTTGTAATTGGAGGACCATGGTTCAAATCCTGACCTGACATCTGAGTATTTTTACTCTCAGAACACTGATGTGAGTTTTATTTATTTCTATTTAAAACTTTGTGTTTTTCATAAAGGTCCTGTAAGCTATGGGTTTCTTTTAGAAATAATTTCTTAAAGCTATTAGTAATGCCTGTAAAACAAAAATCTTATTCATAGTTTACAGATTTTGTCTGTGGTACTGGGAATTGGCAGCCTTGGCAAGAGATAGAGACAAAAAAAATTGTAGCTTGCTTAAATCACGGAATTAGATTAGATCTAAGTCCCTGCTTAAATAAAACATTTTTCAAGTAAACGACCTTGGCCCAGTTTCAAGGTCACAGGGGTGGAAAATGTTCAATTTTTTTACATGACTTCATCAGAACCATGAAAACTAGAGGTGTGATATTTGGTCTGTTATGCTTACTGGGATGCCATGAAATTCAAATGAATGACCTTTACAAACTTACAAGGTCACAATTGTCAAATATATTAGAGTTGAGAAAAAAGTAGACTTTTGGCCTGTTATTTTACTGAACCAATCAGGGACAATGTAACATAGATGAGATAGGCATGATCATGTGTAGTGGAACTGGGTCTGGTGTCTGCTGGTCATCAGCTATCTAAATTGGTTAGAGCGTCCGTCTAGAGTTTGGAGGTCCATGAATTGGTTTATATCCTTTTCCGAAGACTTTTGAAAAGGAAGGAGGTGTGTAGTGGGACTTGACTGGATGACTACAGTTAACCAGGTAACTGTGTTAATTGGTTAGAGCATCAATTTGGAGTTTGCAGGTCCTGGGTTCGAATCCGGGTCTCAGCCCAGTTACATTTTCCTTCTCCTGTTACATATATACTGTAATGTGAATTTTACTTTGCAGTGCTTAGCACTACGACTAATACCAAACACGGTTTAATTTTTGTTCCACAGTTGTGCTCCTGATGTATTTCCCGGTGTCGACAGCAGGATATTTTGTCTACGGGAAAGTCCTGGACGACAACATCCTCAACTCAGTGTGTCAGTCCGCTTCACGCACACACTGTAGGAAAGGCATGACCGTCGCAATCCAGATCCTCATAACTCTTCATCTTATGTTCGGCTTCGTCATCGTGCTGAACCCTTTCTGTCAACAAGTTGAATCCGGCCTATTCAAAGTGGATTCAACAAGTGAGTTTAGTCTGTTTTGTCAGCCATTTATAATTTAGACTTTTATGTAATGATTTTGTTCGCCATAATAGCTAAAAGAAATCTATCAAATTTCACATATTATTTACTATTTATAATTTTTAAATTTCATTTAAAAATTCAATCCATTGTCTAGACTTTGTACAAAAAGAAAACCCCATTTTGTTTTCGCTCTACTTATGATTAACAAAATTAAACCCCTATATAAATATATTCTTGAAATGAAAATACAAAAGATCACACATATGAAAATGAACACCCAGGCATGTCCAGCTAATAAATTAAATTAAACTTTATTTATATTATACGATTATGAAACAAAGTCAGTCAACTTATACTAATCACTCTTGTCTTGGGTGGTCGGGTGATGCAATGGATAGTGCACTTGCCTTTCACCAAGGCGACCAGGGTTCGATTCTCCGATCGCACGTGAAAAGGTTGGGGTCACCTGCCCTAACACGTGGGTTTTCTCCGGGTACTCTGGTTTCCTCCCACACTAAGACCCCCCATGAGCTAACATCCTGGCCAACAAGTGTGATTAATATAAGTTGAAATAACTTGTTTCATAATTGTTGTTAAATAAATAAGTTTATATTTTTTTAATCACTCTTGCTGGCCTGGATGGTAGCATGCAGGGGGCCTTAATGTGGGAAGAAACAGGAGTACCCAGAGAAAACCCTCAATACTTCATTATAAATGTTGACTGATCCTCACTTCTTGTATCCTTGCAGAATTTACTTTTAAGAGAGTGTTAGTGAGATCAGGCCTGGTGGCTATAGTGTTGTTCATTGCTGAAACCATTCCCCATTTTGGCGCCATTTTATCCCTGGTCGGTGGCTCGACAACAACGTTACTGGCCTATGTGTGCCCATCAGTATTCTACCTAAAACTGTGTCGCATGCCCTATGATGAGGAACTGATTGAGCCGGATGAAGGAAACGTGAATGTCCGGCCGGTGAAGCTGCCTGGAACTGAGCCTGATGGAACCATGTAAGTTTGGGACAGCGAGTTTTGGATTTGTAGTTTTTGTATTATTGTTCGCCATTGTCTGGCTGGCTGTCTGGCTGGCTTGCTGGCTGGTTAGCTGGCTAGCTAGGCATCAACTATATTTCGTCTGAGCATAAATTCTTTACCATTCCAATATAACGTGTACGATAACATTTACTATACCAAAGTATCACTGGATGGCTGTGTATCACATACTAAAATGAATCTTTTGTACAATTTAAAGAGTTATGGCCCTTTGTTCATTACGTATACTAAAGTTTGTCCGAGGTAGAACTTAGCTGCCATTTGATGTAAGTTCCCCAAACCTGCTATACTGGTGTATCTTTGGCAGGTGGAGTGTTGCAAATAGAAATGGAATCTTGGATTTGATTTCTTCTTTAACCAAATTTTGTTGAGGCATAATAATCCTGTTGTTTCACCAATGTTCCTCAAGATTGTTACACTGAATAGAAGAGCAAAGTTTCATGTGCTGAAATCCAATCTCATGCCCCACTCTATTTGATATCAAAGATTGCTCAGAACATACCCAGGTAACCCTGCTATTTCACCTTCTGGTTTTGTTCCAATGTTGTATAGAATTATGACCCTTCGTTAGATTTTATACCAAATTACAGGTTTATGACTTCTTTACAAGTTCAACTAAATTTACAAAACGATTGCTATTCATGTATATTTTGGTAAGGCAGAATGTTTTGTTCTGAAATTGAGTCTCATTTCTACTATATTAAGAGTTGAGGCCCTTGGATACTTAAGCTTTAACAGAGTATAATTTCTTCGCCATTTTACCTTTATTCATCAAACTTGCCATACTAATGTATCTTCAGAAGGCGGAGGGTCACATACAGATATAGACTCATGCTCATATCTCAACGAGGAGTTTGAAAGGAATTAACATTGCAGTGATGTGTGTACATGTACATTGTTTAGATTGCAGTTCCCTTGTTTAACCCTTTCACCCCTATGTAACTTTAGTAGACCCTTCCATGCATTGATATGGATGAGTCCATTATGGTCTACAGTGGTGAAAGGGTTTACTTTGCTCGTGCCATGGTTTCATGAAATCTCTGAAATTTTATTTTCTATACAAAAAAATAATTTTCCAACATTTTTTTCTTTCTTTCAGAATCATACCTTTTTGGGAAAAAGTGTTGAATTACGAAATTATAGCTATCGGATTGATAGCTGGTGTGGCATCAACTGTATCCGCAGTGATTGGAATCGTTCAACCAGACACGTTCACAGTGCCCTGCTATGCAAGATAATCACTCTAGGAAATCATGAACCAGTACAACACAATCAAAATTTTGGCTCGCAAAATACTGAACCAGCATTGAAGATCAAGACTCGCAAAATACTGAACCAGCATTGAAGATCAAGACTCGCAAAATACTGAACCAGCATTGAAGATCAAGACTCGCAAAATACTGAACCAGCATTGAAGATCAAGACTCGCAAAATACTGAACCAGCATTGAAGATCAAGACTCGCAAAATACTGAACCAGCATTGAAGATCAAGACTCGCAAAATACTGAACCAGCATTGAAGATCAAGACTCGCAAAATACTGAACCAGCATTGAAGATCAAGACTCGCAAAATACTGAACCAGCATTGAAGATCAAGACTCGCAAAATACTGAACCAGCATTGAAGATCAAGACTCGCAAAATACTGAACCAGCATTGAAGATCAAGACTCGCAAAATACTGAACCAGCATTGCATTGATGATCGATATTCTGGCTAAGAGGATATTGTGAACATGAGGCCTCCGTTGTTTAGACATGGTCAGCTTAAAAACTGTTTTATGTAAAAAAAAAAAATTGGTGTAAATTTATTTTCAAAAGTATGGAACTCAAACTTCACTCTGCATTACTGGGTTTTTTTTCTTTTTTTGCCCATCTGAAACCAAGAAGAATTTTCAATAATTTTGTGTTTCATTTAAGATATATATTATTTTGAATAATTATGAAACTACTTTTTAAGCTAACAATACTTTGAACAACTGTTCAGTAGGATACATGTGTTGTGATCGAGAATGTAACAAAAATAAATTGATACTCATGTTTTATTTACATTGAATTTCATGAACTGATCTTACTATATATTTATTTAAAATGAGATTAATTCACACTTCACATTTTTATGTTATTCATACATGATTGTTTGTATGGTACTCTGATTTGCAATTGATGCTTAATCATGAATTTACTCAAAAATCTATTTTAAGTGCAATATATATCATGTACAGTTATGATGCTCAAAGAACAAAGGTTTATTTTTTTTCCAGGGGCCAAACAGAGTATTTCAGGGGTTTTCAGGAATACACATAAAAGTTTTATATTTGAAACTTTTGATGCAGAAAAATATATTTGTAAGGTTTTGTTTCATTCAAAATATAGTCTTAAATCTGTGTGTGAATATTTAATGTTTATCACCCTAAGAATGAAATTAAATCTGCAGTGAAATGAGAGGGTATATGATAACCGGTTACCTCAATAATTTGAAGGGGAAAAAAGAAGACGGAATGATACTAGATTTTAATTTGATGCCATATGAAATAATTTTACTTTTTCTTTGTTTTTATACCATATACTCAAATTCCATTGGTCAATCTTTCTTGTCGAAATTACCACCATTGTCCTTTCATGTATTTAATGGGGAAATGAGTAAATTCTTTGCTTACTTTTATTTACTCTTGTCTATAGTTTTAACACATTCACCCCTGAAGACAATTTGAACTCTTCCAATTCAAAGGATGGAATAGTTTATTATTAAATTTCAGGGGTGAAAGATTAAAGAAATGTTTGGGTGAAGCCATATCTTAATTTCCCTGCTTTGTCCTTTCTAATGATATTGATGTTTTGTACATGAATTATTGAGAGAACAATTTTTCCATACTTCATCAACCTGCAAGAAATATAATTATCATGTTCAATTTATTGTGTATATCATATTCATTCCAGGGTTAGAAATGGCATGCATTTACATGTAGTATTTTTGTTTTAATTAAAACATATTTCTATTGAATCCCAAGGGAGCTAATTGGGAAATTAATTAATACTTCACTACAGACTAAATTTGTTGCATAACATGATGCTCAAGAGAAAAGTCTTCGCCAGGGGAGAGAACTATGAACTGAAATTGTACAGAAGCATCAAATGTTCATATTAAATTTGTAGACAATAGCAATTATTTAATATTTTTTGAAAATATGCATTCCTGAAAGGAAAACTTACCTTCAGTGATTCTATGATTTACATTTTATGATTAACTTTTAAATCATTCCGTAGAAATCTGTTTGTGCCTAAATTTGTTCCAAAGTTTTTATGTTAATTTTAGTTAAGATGTTGCACGATGAATACCTCATGATTATATATCATTTTATCAATTATTCATTTATGAATTTATTAGTAACATTAATAAAGATGGAAAGTCTTAGCACTGTGTGATGTAGTGTATATTTCCAACAAATATGAGTGCATGGTTGTATCCTGGGGATGGGGGTTAGGCCTCCCCCTAAAATGCTTCAGACTTTTATGCTTTTAATTTCAAAATGCTGTAACTCCCTAAAAAGCGCTGCAACTGTAATTGTCTATGTACAATATAGAGGAAGTAGCATAAATTCAACAGGGAGATAACTCTTTTAAGACATTTATAGAGAAGAAATTTTTGTTAATAAAAAAAGTTGCTATTCTGTTGTTTTTATTACTTCTTGGAACAAGAGCACAAATTATGTATAACCATGCATGATGCACTAAACGTTTGCTTTTTGGGAACATTTCTGTCCCAAGGTAGCACGTCATGTTCGCCATGTTATTTGGATAAGAAAGTTATGCAATTTAGTTTTGTTCTTCATTGATCACGGTGCACATCCATATTACAGTACATGTATACAGAACTCAGTTTTGACAAACCATGATAGGAAAACTTCAAGTAATCAGTCCCCTATAAGGACTACCAGAGGAGATTATAGATTTGCATTCTGTCCATCAGGACCATGTAAGGATTGAACATCAGCATTTTCCCTTTTCATGCTGTCAGATTAGCATTCACACTGGCATAAATATTGCAAAAAAAAAAGAATTCAATTGTTATACTAACATTCTTAATATTTAGTTATTATTGACCTAAACATAGATATTTCCTTTTATTTTGGATAATAAAGTGTGTTAGGCAGGCGTCTGTGCTAGTCAGATTCCTTGAACTGCCCAACATCAAAATGTTTGTTTCTAGCAGTAGTCTCTTATTCCAGGCGGGAGAAGAAACTTCAAAATGACGCTGATATATATTGGGTCCATAGTTCTATGAATGCAATTTCTTCTGCTGATGCTTATAGAGGAAATTATGTGTATGGTTGATTGGATATTATGAAATATTCAGTTGAATGAATCTTTCCTATTTCTTTCAATTTTCATATCACAAAGGAACGCATTTCATTATAAACAATTATTGAAATATGAACATGTACTTCAGTCTTTTAAACTTGGGTAAATACTGAAGTGCACTGGAGTTAACATCATAGTGCACTGGAGTTAACATCGTAGTGCACTGGAGTTAACTCCAATGCACTATGATGTTAACTCCAGTGCACTACGAGGTTAACTCCAGTGCACTACGATGTTAACTTCAGTGCACTACGATGTTAACTTCAGTGCACTACGATGTTAACCCCAGTGCACTACGATGTTAACCCCAGTGCACTACGATGTTAACTTCAGTGCACTACGATGTTAACCCCAGTGCACTACGATGTTAACTTCAGTGCACTACGATGTTAACTCCAATGCACTATGATGTTAACTCCATTGCACTATGATGTTAACTCCAGTGCACCGGAGTTAACATTGTAGTGCAATGGAGTAAACATTGTAGACTAGTGCACTGGAGTTAACATTGTAGTGCACCGGAGTTAACATCATAGTGCATTGGAGTTAACATCGTAGTGCACTGGAGTTAACATCGTAGTGCACTGGAGTTAACATTGTAGTGCACTGGAGTTAACATTGTAGGGCACCGGAGTTAACATTGTAGTGCACTGGAGTTAACAATGTAGTGCACCGGAGATAACATTGTAGTGCACTGGAGTAAACATTGTAGACTAGTGCACTGGAGTTAACATTGTAGTGCACCGGAGTTGACATCATAGTGCATTGGAGTTAACATCGTAGTGCACTGGAGTTAACATTGTAGACTAGTGCAGTGGAGTAATCATTGTAGACTAGGGCACTTGAGTTAACATTGTAGTGCACTGGAGTTAACATTGTAGGGCACCGGAGTTAACATTGTAGTGCACTGGAGTTAACAATGTAGTGCACCGGAGATAACATTGTAGTGCACTGGAGTAAACATTGTAGACTAGTGCACTGGAGTTAACATTGAGTTAACATTGTAGACTAGTGCACTGGAGTTAACATTGAGTTAACATTGTAGACTAGTGCACTGGAGTTAACATCGTAGTGCACTGGAGCTAACATCGTAGTGCACTGGAGTTAACATTGTAGACTAGTGCAGTGGAGTAATCATTGTAGACTAGTGCACTTGAGTTAACATTGTAGTGCACTGGAGCTAACATTGTAGTGCACCGGAGTTAACATTGTAGTGCACCGGAGTTAACATCGTAGTGCACTGGAGTCAACATCGTAGTGCACTGGAGTTAACATTGTAGACTAGTGCAGTGGAGTAATCATTGTAGACTAGGGCACTTGAGTTAACATTGTAGTGCACTGGAGTTAACATTGTAGACTAGTGCAGTGGAGTAATCATTGTAGACTAGGGCACTTGAGTTAACATTGTAGTGCACTGGAGTTAACATCGTAGTGCACTGGAGTTAACATTGTAGACTAGTGCACTGGAGTTAACATCGTAGTGCACTGGAGTTAACATTGTAGACTAGTGCACTGGAGTTAACATTGTAGTGCACTGGAGTTAACATTGTAGACTAGTGCAGTGGAGTAATCATTGTAGACTAGTGCACTTGAGTTAACATTGTAGTGCACTGGAGCTAACATTGTAGTGCACCGGAGTTAACATTGTAGTGCACCGGAGTTAACATTGTAGTGCACTGGAGTTAACAATGTAGTGCACCGGAGATAACATTGTAGTGCACTGGAGTAAACATTGTAGACTAGTGCACTGGAGTTAACATTGTAGTGCATTGGAGTTAACATTGTAGTGCACCGGAGTTAACATTGTAGTGTACTGGAGTTAACACTGAAGTGAACTGGAGTGAACTTCAGTGTTTTGTCAAGTGCACTTCCTTGTTCACTACATGTGCACTAAATATTGAAATATGTTTGAAGGTGGCGAAACTGTCTGCACCTTTGAGCAAAACCACGGCAGGCCTGATGACGGCATGCGGGGGATATTTTTATAAAAATTTATGTGAATCTAGAATATATTGCCGAGTATGTTGAACTATTATTTCATTTTCCTGTTGGTCTAATTCCAAACTACCAGCTGCAGGTCCAGAGGAATGAAATAGTTTAGTTCACGATATAATTTAATTCTTTGTTCTACATAAATTGTTAAAAGCAAAAAAGAAATGATATGTATCTTCAACAGGATGACCACATTGACAGTGTGGGAAATTTATTAGATTTGCATGGAATAGATCATTATTTAAGGTACTAGCTCTGTTTCTTAATCTGGTATGTAAAATATTAAGTTTTCTATCGCCAATCAGATAATAATTTGGAACATGTAAATTTTGAAGATTTAGGAGAGAATTCTTAAACGCTGTGTGTGAAACCTTTTGTCTTGTGTCTAGGTCTTATCCAGCATGGTGCCATAATATCGTTTCTACAGAAAACTACCAAATAAAACATAAATACTCCAATCACTTCTCTTATCTGACCATTATGTTGTGTCCGACAGGTCAAATGACCAATGTGTTTTGTCTGACAGGGTGTCAGATTAAACAGGTTAAACTACCAATGTGTTGTGTATGACAGGGGGTCAGATAAGACAGGTTAAATGATCAATGCGTTGTGTATGACAGGGTGTCAGATAAGACAGGCTAAACTACCAATGTGTTGTGTCTTACAGGATATCAAATTAGACAGGTTAAATGACCAATGTGTTGGGTATGACAGGGTGTCAAATAAGACAGGTTAAATGATCAATGTGTTGGGTATGACATGGTGTCAGATTAGACAGGTTAAATTACCAATATGTTGTGTATGACAGGGTATCAGATTAGACAGGTTAAATGACCAATGTGTTATGTCTGACAGGGTGTCAGATTAAACAGGTTAAATAACCAAGGTGTTTTGTCTGACCAGGTGTCAGATAAGGCAGGTTAAATGACCAATATGTTGTCTGACATGATGTCAGATAAGACAGGTTAAACTACCAATGTGTTGTGTCTTACAGGATGTCAGATTAGACAGGTTAAACTATCAATGTTTTGTGTCTTACATGGTGTCAGATAAGACAGGTTAAATGACCAATGTGTTGTCTTACATGATGTCAGATTAGAGAGGTTAAATGACAAATGTGTTTTGTCTGACCGGGTGTTAGATTAGCAGGTTAAATGACCTATGTGGTGTGTCTTACATGATGTCAGAATAGACAGGTTAAATAATCAATGTGTTGTGTCTGACAGGGTGTCATATAAGACAGGTTAAATGACCAATATGGTGTGTCTTACAGGATGACAGATTAGACAGGTAAAATGATCAATATGTTGTGTATGACAGGGTGTCAGATTAAACAGGTTAATGACCACTGTGTTGTGTCTGACATGGTGTCAGATAAGACAGGTCAAATGGCCAATGTGTTATGTCTGACAGGGTGTCAGATTAGACAGGTTATACTACCAATATGTTGTGTCTTACATGATGTCAGATTAGACAGGTTAAATGACCAATTTGTTGTGTCTGACATGATGTCAGATTAGACAGGTTAAATGACAATCCAATTTGTTGTTTGAAAGGGTGTCAGATAAGACAGGTTAAAAGATCAATGTGTTGTCTGATTAGACAGATTAAATTAACAATGTTTTTTTTCTGACAGGGTGTCAGATTAGACAGGTTAAATGACCAATGTGTTTTGTCTGACAGGGTGTCAGATTAGACAGGTTAAATGACCATTTTGTTGTGTCTGATGGTGTCAGATAAGACAGGTTAAATGAACATTTTGTTGTGTCAGATGGTGTCATATTAGACAGGTTAAATGACAAATATGTTGTCTGACAGAGTGTCAGATAAGACAGGTTAAATGATCAATGTGTTATGTCTGACATGGTGTCAGATTAGACAGGTTAAAATATCAATGTGTTGTGTCTGACCGGGTGTCAGATTAGACAGGTTAAATTACCATTTTGTTGTGTCTGATTGTGTCAGATAAGACAGCTTAAATGACCAGTATGTTGTTTCTTACAGGATGACAGATTAGACAGGTAAAATTATCAATGTGTTGTGTATTACAGGGTGTCAGATAAGACAGGTTAAATGAGCTATGTGTTTTGACGGACAGGGTGTCAGATTAGACAGGTTACATTTCCATTATGTTGTGTCTGATGGTGTCAGATTAGACAGGCTAAATTATCAATGTTGTCTGACAGGGTGTCAGATTAGACAGGTTAAATAACCAATGTGTTGTGTCTGACAGGTGTCAGTTTAGACAGGTTTCAATGAAATTCAAAGCTAAAGTGTTGTACTTTAAAGGCTCCTGCTTCAAGAACTTGCCATACCATAATACGTCCTGTCAAAAA